GTTGTTTCATCAACCCCAAACTTTTAATAGCTCAGTATTTGCATTGTAAATGTAAGAGAGGGGAAAGTTGTGTTCATTTCCTTTATAGCCCATATAATGTGTTTGTAGAGGCAAAGATTGAAAGAGCTGTTGTGTGGCAGTCCTTGCACATTTCCCAGCAGCAAATGTATAAAGAATTATGATTGTGCGGGTCGCTGACAGCTACCTGGTTCTGGACAGTTTGTCCTTGCAGTCCTCTCCAAAGCTGGGCTCTCATGGGGAACTGATGCAAAAGCTCGGAAAGCAGTCAAAGCAGTGTCACATTTGGAGACATTGTGGAGGTGGATGCTTTGCATTCCCAAAAGAAATCACTACTTTTGTTTCTGTGAGGTAGCAATGTCAATGTGCTGTACAGTTTGTCTGTTCGGACGCATCCCGCATGCATTACCGCAGCTACTGTAGCTTTAAAGAAAGAAGGACGAAATCTGACTTTTATCCATGTTTCACATCATCTCTTACTTGATCCATTATCAGCATTCCTCAAATCCTTTTGGTTCTTTGTCTTTCTGTAATGTAATAAAAACCTGGAGATGATTAGTAACAGCTAAACAAACACACATGTGTGTATGTGTGCATTTGCTTAGCTGAAAAAATTTGCCCTAGTTCTGCTGGAAAGATTTGAACATTAATGCCAGCGCCTGTAAGAGGATCATGGTAAACAATGCAGCGTTTTACCGTGCAGCTTTGTTGCTTCCCTTTGGTACAAATCACCTTTCTTAGACACACCTTGTACCGTTAAACAGCAAGAACAGTGAGTTCTGTTTTATCAGCAGCACAAGGTTAAAGGCACCACAGATGAGATGAGAATGACGTGGCTCCATGGTAAACAAACGTAACGAGAGTTTAATTTTTACGCTTTCTGACAGCAAATGCTTGCCTCACTCTAAGAGGGGGGGGGATTATTCTCTCCTCTTTTGTTTTTCAAAGAAAACTTTAGACTGTTTGTTTTTTCGACTTTCTGTCTTTTGCTGAATGCTTGCGGTGGAAACCATTTTTAACTCGCGTCTCCCTGCTGCTTTTCCAGGTGGAATATTGGCAGATATTCAGGAGGGACCACAGAGACGCACAGTTTCCACTATGAACCGCGCCTTCAACAGGAAAAAAGGTGAGCACACATATCCGCCGCTTGTGTAGCTCATAAACCTGAGCTATTCCCGACATTGTTTATTGTTAAACATCCTCAATGTGTACCATCACCTGTGTCAGTGGGCAGGGTATACCTCAAAGAACCGTATCAGTGGTGTTACACAGTCTTTCCTACCTTCCAGGGCATCTTTGGATTCAGTTCATTTCAGTACACAACCATAATCAACTCACAGAGACTTTAAACACCCTCAGCATAAATAATGCATCATAATGAAACACACGCCCACACTGGTTTTTGTTTCAGAGAGATCTGGGAATCTTTCCTGGTGGTGCATTCAAATGCTGAAGTGAGGCGTCTCCATTCTGTTGTTACATGGCGATGACACTAGAGAACCCAACAGG